GTAGGGAAAAGGGAAAAGTATAATAATTATATATATAAATAATAATTATATACATATATATAATTTGGACAAGTTTGGCAGGCCAGATTAAAATAGCAAAGGGACCGCATCTGGCCCTCGTGCCGTAGTTTGCCCATGCCTGGTCTAGAACAATGGCCCCCAATTTTTTTATTATCAAGGACTGGTTGGCCAGTAACAGCCAGTACCTTGGTACCAGTAGTGCTGTGCCGGTCATTGAAGGATCGTATTAAGGATCAGGAGATTTTCAAAATAAAACATCATTTAGACTGGAGTCTGAAAGGTGTTTTATGTTGAGAAATTGTCAAATGATCTTTAAACGAAAATAATTAGGTCATTTGCTGTGGCCCAGTACCGAATGACTCATGGACCGGTACTGGTCTTCAGACCGGGGGTTGGGTACCCCTGGTTTAGAATATGCAAAATACACGCAACTGACTTCCCAGTTTATGTAATCTAAAAAGTTTTTTTTGTTTTGTTTTTTAAACCTTGGCAAAGACTGGTCCCTACAAGTCAATTGTGGAGGTTGACCTGGAAAACCATCAACAGCAATTTGTGTGTGTGTGTGTGTGTGTGATCAAAACGCTGCTCCAGTTGTCCGTCTGCACGACCCCAGTTATAACAATGATGTACTACTGTGTGCTGATGCATGGCCCATCTGGGAAAGTGTTTGTGCGTTTGTCTGTGTGTGTGTGTGTGTCTGTCTGTGTGTGAGAGGGTTTGTCTTTGTGTGTGTGTGTGTGATTTAAACTCTTTGTAACACGTTAACTTAAAGTTCCCTAATTAACGTCAAACTGGCTGCTTACTACCATGTGGACTGGTACCACGTTGAACACCGGGTGTTTTAGCCACGTTGCCCCCTGTGTGCAGCAGGACCAGGTTCTATCTCGACTAAAGTATTGATAAGCGCTTTCTACACGTTTGCAGTGAGTTAATGGTTAATTTGTGTGCTTTCGCTCGCTTCGACAGGAGATGTTGCACAGTGCACTCAATGTACTTTCACACCGATGGATGTTTGGTATTATCCGGTTTCACTAAGCTGTCTGTTTTAATGTACACTACTGCTGTGTGTTTTCTTCTTCTTTCTTTTTTTAAATATTGCACTGTATTTCTGATTCACAGGAAACTAATGTCGCTCGGTTCAATGAAAGTCAATGATAGTATTTTTTTTTTAAACTGGTCTCTTAGGTTATACTCACTTGGGAAAATACAATGAAATAGTCTGTTTTTCTCCTAAATATTAGTCGAGTGAAGCAAAGTCAATAAATGAAAGCTGTTATTTGAAACACATACACACACAATTACCTACGTACATAAAAACATATATTTGTGTGTATATATATATATGTTATTTAAATATATGTATATTGTGTATACATATATTTATATAATATAGAGACATATATACATTATCGATTCTAATAATCATTGTTTTCACCCAGTTTGAAGTATATCTTTTCATACAGTCAAATACTTTCAGGTCAGTTTCGAAGAACAGACTACTTAATATATACTTTCTCAGGCGAATTAAATACCCCACAGGCTGGTCGTCAAACTTTCCAAACTGCAGAATGTGATCGTCACGTTGTGGAAAGCTTCTTTATTTTCTTTTTTTCCAGAAAACGTTCACATCTATCGTTATCGTTGTTGTTGTCGTCTGTGAATGTCGTGAGCTGCATGAATGGATAAAGTGTTAACTGTACGACTTACTTTCTGGATACTTTCTGGAGTGTTGATCACTTTACAAGAGGTTAAAAACAATACGATTTGCACCTTTGATTTGTGTTTTAATTTCGGAGATCTGTCGTTATGTTCGATGATTGTGCTGCATGTTGGGACTGCAAACTTTTAAGTGTCGTCTTTTACTGCCATGAAGGACTTACTGAAATAAACTGAAGATAAAAAAAACAGATTCTGGTTTTCGCAGATTAGTGATGATTGTGTGTTTGGTGACAAACAGGGACAGATAAGTTAAACAGGAAAAGGCGGAGAGTCACAGGAGACCAGATCCAGGAAAAAAATCATTATTTGCAGATTCTTTATTTGTTGTTGTGATAATGTTTACCTTCTACCAGTGTCCCTGATCCCAAACAGACAGAAGGATATTCCCATGTCTGTCCATCCGGATTTAATGGGAACCAATGTGGAAAAACAGAAAACCTAACACTGATAAATTACAAAAAGAAAAAAAATTGTAATAAAGGACAATTTGGGGTTTGACTTAACTTCAACTGAAATAATATCCCTTAAAGTAGCTTTCAGAGCAGGAATTGTGGGAATCGCCGTGTTTCAAATAAAGAGCCACTGATAAATTACAAAAAGAAAAAAAAATTTTCAGAGCAGGAATTGTAAAAGTAAAGTGTTAAAGTGGTAGCTGTGAATGTGTCAACAACATCTGTTTAGATGATCACTTTGTCAAATTAGAGAAAATCAAGTTGACTTTAAAGGGTGAGCTGAAGGAACTGTACTGCATTTTCCCTGGATTAACTTGAAGTCAATTCCTCTGATGGACTCAGGACTGACTTTATAAGAATCTGTTCAGCTACTTGACTATTCTTCAGTCTGTCATTTAATCTAGTGTCTTTTCCTGGACACTAGATTTTCCTGGCAGCAGATTGAATGGTTTCAGCTCTTATCACGAAAGGCGTCAGAACAGATTGAAAAAGGAAGGCATCAAAAAATGAAGGCATTGTTCTTCAGAGGTTCTAATCAGGCAGGAAACTTCTTTAGACTTGACAGTTTGCGAGTTTTATTCGACCCAGATTTGAGTGCCAGCGTCTGTTTCACACACCGATAACCACAACACTGAATCCCTCTCTGTTGTTGTTTTTGACATTGTGACCACACCATGCTCATTGAACACTGACAATGACGGATCTGAGCGCTTGCATTCCGGCTGTGAAGTCTGGCGCTGGAATTGAGCGACAGGTAGCAAGCTGCGGCGCTCTGGTTTCCTCTACGTAGAAGAGTTGAGTATGAGCGTCTTCTGGACACATGTTGGAAATGTTAAAATTGACAGCACGCTGACTTCTGTTCAGATTTATGAGTGCACGAGATTAAAGTGGGAGACAACGTTTTATTCCCTGTACATACAGTATAAACCGAACCACATTATAGAAAAGAAAGTCCATATTTTTTCCCCGAAATGAAAACAACAGTTGAGAATCAGATTCGAGATTGTCAAAAAAAAAAAAAAAAAAAAGACAAACCATATATTCTGCGATTTGAAGTCAAGCTGAAAACGTCGACCTGTAGTAACAGTAAACCACCAGGAGATGAATACAACTTGAATGTAAATCCATCTGGGATAAGTATCAGTTAGCATTTTTACGTGGCATAAATTTGTTAAAGGAAAATAATGGATTACGGTGTTTATTGTCTTTCAGTGAAGCCCTGAGATTTACACGCTGTGTTGTTAAATAACGCAAATTACAAAAAGAGTCTGCTGCTCTCCTTCGGTCTTAATGCCTCTGTGCCTGCTTTAAAACCCTCCTGACCAGCAACTCAAAAAGAATAGTTCATTTTGAAAATCTATGACAGACCGTTGTGGCTCGAAATGGGTTTTTAAACTAAGGTTTCAAATGCCCAAAATATCTGGTTCCAACATTTAAAATAGGAACATGTTTTACCCAGAGGTTAAGTCCATTCCTTATATATGATCCATGCATTTACTGCAGCCTATTTCCTAAAAGTCTCAGTGACGGGGTTCCTGTGTTTGTGTTGGACAGAAGAAAAGAAATGTGATGAACTGGCAAGTGTTCAGATTTCTGATATGTTTAAAAAAAATAATAATAAAAAAATTGACCACAGAGTTCTGTTTACATTAGGATATAAAAGTGCACAAGTTTCCTTAACCTGGGTGGTGTCACTGATGGTTCTATTGATGAGTCCTGATCAGGAAACACCACATGTTTAACCACTTCTTCATCGCTTATGCTGCTGCGTCGTTGAGCTGTCTGTCAGCCTGAGCCAGTTTCTCTTTCCAGAACAAACTCCACCAGCTGTGCTGAAGCACCAGTTCCCCCTTTCTCCATCCAAAGATCCTTTAAATCCCTCGACTTCCTCCTCCTGGGAGATGTCAGCTCTGTCCGAAGTCAGCAAAGCTCTTGGCCGATGTGAATGCATCGGGCTGTAGGGGGAAAAAGAACTGCTGCGGCAGCAGGAAGCTGGAGCCCTGAGAAGGTTGGTGGAGCTGCAGCTGGGTGTGGGTGGAGGGCAGCTGGTGCTGCAAACCTGCTGATATGGTGGCAGGTGGAGGAGATGTGTAGGGCGGAGGAGGAGGAGGTGGAAGAAGAGTCTGAGCAGTGAGTGTCGGCGTGGAGGCTGAGGAGGAGGAGACGGTGGCTGCAGAAGACACCAAACAGCTATGCTGCTGCTGATGATGATGATGCTGATGCAGATGTTGATGCTGCTGCTGCTGCTGCTGCTGCTGCTGGGGATGTACCTGTCCTCCCCGAGCAAACCTCCTCATGG